TTTGCTTCCATTTGCACGAAAATGGGTTGTTTCCAGATGTATGAATTCTTAATTTCGAGCTAAGGTAATGGTGAGAGGATAGAAAGAAGAAGAAACGTTCTTTCCGTTCGCCCCTCATAATTGCCTTCAAGCCGAAGGTGAAGGCAATAACTTGAATAGAGAAGAAGAAGCAGCTGTAGAACGTGGTGAGTTCAAAAGATTCATTTGGAGCCTCCCTGTTTTACCTAACACTGTCATAATCACCTACTCTAGTTACCTTACGAGCCAATAAAGACGTCGCTGCTGAGTAATAGCTAAGTCCGACAGAACAGTGGCGAAAACCTCTCGTCATAAAGAGAACTACGATATGAGAAGGGCGCAGGGCACATCATTGGTTGGGGATTTTAGTCGAGTCCGTACGACCCCCCTCCTTTTTTGGGGTTGGTACGACCCCCCCCCTCCGGCCCTCTGTCCCTCCTCATCGAATCGAGCCGTCGAGCGGGGGGTAAATAGCACATGTGAAACAGGAAAAGCCGCGAGACAATACGACCCCCTCCCTTCTACCAATTCTCAGATTTTCCCCAACTTTTTCTCCAAAATTTCCCGAAAACTTCCCTACTTTTTCCCAAAAATTTTGCTGTCGAGCGGGGGAGGGGTATATAGTACGCATGAAACAGGAAAATCACGAAAAGTCAACCACCACTCCCACCACTCCTAGAAGGCCAAAAAGTAAATACGACCCCCCCCCTCCCAACAATGAGCAAGTACGACCCCCTCCCTTTTTACAACGTCCGTTATAACGAGACCCCGAACACAACCCCTCTTGAGATTCCCCAACAACGATGTGCCCTGAAGGACGAGCCGAGCAGTTTTGGTGCTCAGCATGTGGTAGGGGTTCAACTTTGCATTCATTCCCTGTGATCCGATGAGAAGATTCACCTCGTTGAGTGGTGCTACCTCTATTGTCCGCTCCTTCCAGCTTTGTGGTAGCTTTTTGGTACGAGAAGTGTTAGTTTCTATTACACCACAAGATAAGCACCCTTTCTCACTCAAAACAATGTTTCAAAGTCCTTCAAAACTCGGAAATCTCAAACACTATTGTAGCCTAGCAGGCACATCAAATCATCGTTTGTCGTTGTCGGTAAGTGTTACCCACCTAAATCACACAACTGAAAGCAATTCGATCGACCTACTACAAAAATGTCCGCGCGTTTGAGGCGAGTGAATGCCGCACAAGTGAAAAAATGCATGCATGTGAAACCTGTTTGCCTCAGTTGACTGCTGACGCTGCTGTCACCGACCTCCTGGTCTGCCGATTCTGCTAGCAAGGGAATTGGTTTGAACCTCCCGTGGGACTTTGAATGGAGACCTAGGTAGAGCCTCGAATGCTGATTACGAATATGCAGATTGAAAGTGCTAGGGGACCTCCCAGACGCAGATCTGGTGGTCGCAATTGCGTTTGATGAATTGGCTGTTTGGTCTGAAAAATTTTTGCTGTCTGTTGATTTTTTGATTTTCTTGCGTTCGTAATGCGTCTCTTTTTCAAGTCAAACACCTGCGGTTTTGCAACCGCGTTGCGCGCGGAGATTTTGCACAAGCTCGCCGCATAAGAGCTTCAACGGGCTAATTTTGTTTCGAAATTCTTGCGTGAATTCACGGCTCCAGCTGGGCAAGTAGATCAACGTACATCAGATACGACGTACTCGACTCTAGTACGGAGTTGCTCCCGTCTTGACACAGCTTACCTTCCGCGACAACTCCAAGAGTTTAGCGCAGATATTCGTCAATAAGAAGAAGGAGTGATTTCGACCCGCTGACACGAAGTACCATCTGCTTCGACAAAAAAAAAAAGCGCTCGTTCTGCCAAATTGCGATTCTGGGCCAAAACTTTTGTAATTGTCGAGCATGGCTAAATATGTTTCAGAGAGGGCAGATCATGACGCAAATCCTATACAGATCGCAGTACGCGTTTAGTACTTGCATGTACTTGATGCTATTTGCCCTGCTAGGCCGCTAAAATTCGGTCTCAAGGATTTCGGAAAATTAGGAGTAAGCTCTTATACGGAGCGAAGCAAAAATTTCGCGCCGGATGCAAACCCGCATGCGTTTGACTTGAAAGCGAGACCATTACCACGAGGCCACGGTGGCACTGCCGATCGATCAGCAGCGCTTACGAGCCAGAACTCAAACTTTGACCACCCAGATCTCGTCTGGGAGGTCCCCGTAGCACTTTTAATCTGCATATTCGTAATCAGCATTCGAGGCTCTATCGATGTACCTAGGTCTCCATTCAAAGTTCCATGGGAAGTTCAAACCATTCCCTTGTAAGGCGTTGCCCGGCGACATAATCCTGCGTTCTTCTAAAAATGCTCAATCGAGCAGTCAGCAAAAGCCAGGAGGGCCGAATTCTCTCATCTTTGCAGCGAAATGATTCTGCTGACCACTTATCCAGCATAGCTGCTTAATCACAGCTACACCGTCAGTGCCTCAGAGTGACTCGAAGTTGGGACCTTATTGTGAGGAGCATTTTCAGAATGCCTACCATCAAAAGAAAAAGGTATATAGAGCTTTATTATCATAATTATACATACAACGGCATACTTCAGTATTAATAATGTTCATAGACAGACTGCATGAACTATTCGCAAAGTATAAATATGCAGTAAAAGCGTATCCACAATTAAATTACGGAAATGTAAGTTCAACTGTAGCTGAAGTGATACTGAATCGACGAGCACTTATCGCATCAACGTTGGACATTTACCTACCGAATGGCATACAGCAGCAGCAGCCTCCTCCTCCTCCTCCGAGACCTGAAAATAATCCCACATAAAAGGAAACGACACAGAGTAGTAGGGATTATAATGGGCACGTGTAAATTATCCGTATTGGTACGACCACACCTTCAAAGGAGGGCCGCGACATAAGCCCAGTTCAGCAAATATACTGCTGCACGCGATGTGTCGCGACCACATTCTCGGGTGCTTTCCTCGAGGGGAAAGCCCAGGTAACCACGTTGTTCGGGATTCCCCAACAGGGATGGGGGCTGTTTTGGGCTGAGAAAAAAATCTTTTGATAGTTGATTTTTCTTGCTCAGTTACATTCTGTAGGGTACGGGTATTTTCTCCTTTCGTAGTTCCCTTCCGACCTTCTGAGAAAGGTTGCTGACTTTTTGTGGTTTTTTGGTTTTTTTTTCCTATTTCATGTTTACCATATATCCCTCATGAGGAAGAAACCTAGAGAGGAGGGAAACCTAACAACCCCCCCCCCAAAAAAAAGTGGGGGAGGGTCGTACGGAATTGACCGGAATCCGTAACCAATGCCAATGTGTGAACTGCAAATACCCCAACGAAGGTCTGCTATCAGCCCTTTGTCTATCTGCTTCTAGCCTCCCTGCATCCATCCTTCCCCTCTCTTCTCTGAAAGGCATGGGCTAGGGGACTAGATAGCCCGCGTTCAGCCTACGTGATGATGCGCATGGGGGGGATGGGTGAATAGGATGACAGGTGCCCAGCACAGGCTGGCATCGATCGGCACTGGTTGTCTGCGGCTGCGTTCACGTGTATAGCTGTAGCGCTGTTGTAGTTGTAGCGCGTCGACGCGCGTCACAGCGCGTCGTCGCGCGTTACGAAGTTTGAAGGCTGCCATGCCGCGCGGATATAAATTATACTCTGCGCTGCACTATAACCGCTTAGGTCGTGCTCATGGGAAGGTATGTAGAGTGGCGAGAGAAAGAGAGGCGAGGGGTCGAAAAGGTAAAGGTAGAGAGTAGAGGTTTTATGCAGATCCCCTCGCTATAGCAGCACACTGCCTCCGAGGATCCCTGAGCATTTGAATTCCTGGGAATGGGGAACTGATGAACCTTAAATGGGGAACTGATGAGAATATGAAACGTGCGAGTTTTTACATTTTGAACAACAATGACGTTCTTTGCACGTGATCACTTGCGAAACCAAGGGTAGCACACGGAAACACTTTAATTGCGCTCTCAAGGTTTTTTTCCGAAACTCTCTCGTTCGAGAGCAATTAGATGTGAAGAAATCACATAAAGGCTTGCCAGCCTCTCAAAAACGCCTCACGCCCAGGTCCCTTTCGGCTGAAGAATTACAAGGGCTTCATTTACAAGTTTAAGTAGGCCTTCGAAAACCTGTTCCAAATGGAGTGAATAGAAAATATAAGGTTGGAAGGAAAGTCTTGTCACTGTTGTGACTTTTTTTTTTATTTTCTAACTCAACATACAGTGGGAATTAGTCAACAATATACTCGTCATAGTTAGCCACTACAGTGCTCCACCTAATGGGCAGGTAAGCATTCCCCTCCTCCCAGAACTGAGAAGGCTGCGAGTAGAGTAAGTCAGCGGCCTCTCGACTGATGTCATCAAAGTTGCTGAAAGTTTTCTTAGCTAAGAAAGCCTTAAGGAGGCGGAGCAGGTAGCAGTCGTAGGGGACTATGTCAGGAGAATATGATGAGCGGGTCTGGTCTCCCAGCCTTGCTCCTCAATTATTTGGTAGGTCTCCATAGCAGTGGGGTTTCGCGTCCTCTCGAACGAGGTGCCCCAAAGCTAGTCTCGGTCATTTTTCTCCGACAGTTTCCACGGGTTTCCGGAGCTGAGTGACACAAATGGTAGCGGTGAATCACAGGGCAGGTCGTTCTGCAGCATCCCCCTCGCGTCCCAGGAGCAGCACAGGAGAACCTTCTCGGACATGCCGGTTTGGACTGCTAGAATGGATCTTCTCCTTGAGAGAGACACACGGTACTGTGTGGGTTGAAATCATAGAGGACCCATCTCTCATCTCCACTAAGCAGTCTCCTAGAAACTCCTTCTGACGGGGACGGAGAAGGGGAGCCAAGGGGTACCCAGGTATATAACGTGCCATCGGTCAAGGTGTGAGTAATCCATCGGGCCGGTACTTTTTGGTATCAAAGGCTCACAGGCGGTTGACGACTGTCGATCGTCAACCGCCTGTGAGCCTTTAATCTTAGGTACATCCGAGACTTGTCGCAAGGCTGCGGGGGCAGCCTCCGGCTCCC